GCAATCTTTTTTATCGCAGGCAGAGGCTCAGTGTCATTTTAATGCAATAGAAAAAAAATGTATGTAGCTTATGTCAACCTTCTTATTCAAACTTCGATTGGTTGAATTGTAAACTTAATATTTTTTGTCGTAAAGCAATTCATGATCAGCCATAAAGTCAATTATTCGTTTTTTATGAGATACCTATGTTTTTTTCGATTATTGACATTCGAAGTTTTACATCTAGTTTTTCTTTTTTTCACTTTTTATTGTTCTCTTTATACATCAAGCAACGAAAAAAAGAAAAAAGTTGTATTGATTTTAATCTATAAAAAAGAAAAATAGACAAAATATAATTTTACAAAAAACATAGAAATATTACATAATTCACATATAAATGGTAATACATTCGAACATGTTGAATCACGTAAACATGATGAAGTATTTGATTGAATATATAAACCAATACATTGATCATATTCTTGAAAATAATAATTATATATATGAGCTGGTTGACCTGAACAAAAATAATTTGAATTAGAAAATGTTAATGCTGTTGTAATCCAACGATAAATATCTAAAAATAAAACAATATAAAAATTTGATTTGAGAAACGAAGAAAAAAAAACAAACTTGTATTGGAACCAGTTTCACGTAAACCAATCCAATAAGTTTTAGTTACATTAAAACTAAAATCTTTTATGGATTGTAATGTACGAAATATATTTTCATTCAAGATTTCAATAAGTCGACTTTCACTTGTTATACACCATTGATTAGCATCAGTAAAAGTTAAATCTGTAGATGATACTAGATAACAACCAGTACTATTATTACCAACAATCCAATTAGGTGGACATTCACCTTATTAAATTTCAAAATATAAAAGAAGAAGAAATTTTAATTTTTGTTATTGAAAATTAACATACGACATTTTGTATTATTATACCAAAACCAATTGCCGGATGGACATCGGCATGTTTTGGATTTACTTATATCTGTACATACTAATCCTTTCGATGAATCACATTTAGCGCTAACACATTGTTTACCATAGGTTTGATACGGAGCTAGAATTAAGCTGTTGGCATTACAAAAAAAAAACTTTTTTGTTTATTTTAATTGTATCACATACTCAAAGAATATAAAATAGTAGGTAATAATCTCGATTCATTTATTCACAAGGAAATCTTCACAAATATCTTCTTCTCTGATTTCAATTCTCTTTTTGCGTATCGATACTATGCAGTATTCTAATGAAAACTTTAAAAGGCTTTAAGTTCCTATTCAGAATTCACGGAGATATTGAATTTTTAATGTATCTATTTGTTAGAGAACCTTGTAGGATTCCAGGTTATCGAAGAAATCATATTTTTCAAGTTTTTCTTGTCATTGTTTTTATTTGAAAGTCTCATATACCGTAACTTCTATGAAGAATTCCAGAGTTTGTAGACTTCATATCTTCAAGATATGAACTTGTCGAAATATTCTTTTATTATTCAGGGCACTTCGAAAAGAGTCTATTTTTGAAAAGCTCATAGTTCGGAGACACGAAGTGTAACTCTTCATACAAGCTACTGTATATATGAGGCTTTCTAATAGAGATAGTGCCAAAACAAAAGAAACTTAAAGATATGATTTTTTCGAATACCTGCGCTCTCTCACGGGTCTCTGAAAAATAGACACATTAAAAATTCAATAGCTTCATCAAGACTCAATAGGAACTCAGATTCTTGTAAAGCTTTCACTAGAATAATATGAAGTATCTATCGACTATTGATTATTGAAATCGAAAAGAAACATTCGGGGAGATTTCCTTGTGAGCCGTTTTTTCTAGATAGCAAGAATTTTTTATTTTCTGAATACATCACAAAACTATGTTTATCGATACACTTACGCACAGGCCCAACTTCAATTAAAAGTAAAAGAAGTAAGAACATAATGATAGTTATTATGGCAAAATTTACTAAAAATAAAATTAACCATAATCTACATGCACATTGTCCTTGGGATTTAGCGTGATCACGAAGTTTTTCATTTGGATCATCTATTTTATTGAATTCTAACTGTTCAATATAAAACATAGAGATATTCAATTCAAAAAGAAAAAAACAACGGCTTACTTCATAAATAACAAGTTTATTTTTTGTTTCATCATGAAGAAATTTTGTTAGATCAGGTAAATCAGAACTCATCTAAAATAAAATCAATAAAAAAAATCAATTACTTCTAATAGTCAAGTGTCTTTTTTATTTTAAAGTATTGAAAAAGAACCCATGCATTTATTAAACTATAAATAAAGAAAAGAAAACACAAAATAATATTTTAGAAAATAAAATTAAAAATAAATATCTTACTTTTTTCACAAATAAAATTAATATCAGCTCGTTGACATGTATAACGAGCTAAACATGAATCCATACGATAGATTCCACAATTCATATTAGTCCGAAAAATAGTATCAAATCGATTGATGGAACCATTTGTACAAAACAAATTCATCGATGATGAAAGTAAGAAACTACCATCTACCCACTGCCAATTGCCTGAAAAAAAAGTACAAAAGACAGTGAAGAGCACGAGATTCTCTAGTTCAAGATATATCTTTCAGACAATGAAAGTAAAACAAAACACTCAACTATTCCATTCGTTAAAAGAAATATTTTTGCTTTTAAAGAAAAAATGTGGCAACTTCGGGGTGCTTTTTCTAGTTTGAGAAAATGAACACAAATTTTGTGACTAGAACTAATGGGTGGACCGAAAGTTTCGAGACAAAATGTTTGTCTATTTTTCACCACCTCGAAAGTATTCTAGATAAATGGAAAAAGGTAGATCAGAATCAGAATTTAATGCTCTTTCCGAATATGAGTTCAGAAATTCTGTGTCTATTTTTATAAGGGAGAAGTATGCAAATCTTTGAAAGGCATAAAAAAATAGTCTGAACAAAATGATTGAGTCGAAGCTTCTGAGCAATGTTTGCTTTATTTTTGGTCTATATAAAAGTATTGTAGACGAATGAAAACTACAGGCTATGATCAGAATTTTCTGCTCTTTCTGAATATGGACTCAAATTTTTTTTATTTGTAGTAGTGAGACAATCTTTGAACATGCCAGAAAATTGGATTGGTTAATGAAGCACATCGGCATTTGCCTCTCCCGTGAGTCATGTGTGAAGATGCTAAAGACGGTTGAATATGTTAGTTTTGTAGAGCAGACAGTCCTCTACAAAATGTGATATCGAATTCCAATATAGCTTTTATACAAGTAAAACTATAAGCATTTTCTGAGAAGCTATTTCTACCTGAGA